GGGTAATATACAACTGCCCTGGACCTGAAAGGGAAAAACTATCTCACGTTTCAATATCAGAGCAAAAGTTTGTATTATCATGTAAATCTTACTCAATAAATCTGTACTGGAACAGTGGTCACTGTTAGCATTACACCTCTTTTTCTACAGTAGAAACAGTTAATCTTTCGGCCTCCCATCATTCCTTCTCATCGCACACAGCCTGTCAGCTCCTTAGCTATTGACAAACTCTAACTCTTCAAATAAATTAACAGAAAAAAAACATGATGGAAAGAAGTTGTGTGCTTATGTGTGTGAGCGGTTGCGGGGGAAGGAGGCAAATTCTTTCAACAAACACCTAAGTGCCCATAATATGCACAGATACTGTGCTAGGTACCAACATTAAATAAAACGTGAGTAACTTGCAAGTTCTTGCACATTTCAGCACCTGAGTACATTTCCTTCCCTTCTTCCAAAACCAACTGCCCCTACCCTACTCTATTATCCCTCCGGTAATATCTTCCTTGGGCTCAGTTATATCTTCTCTTTATATGCTATCAGAACTTCTGATGGTTCTCTGTTTAACCCTCAACATAATTTAATTACGTTTAATTACGTAGTCTGTCATTCCTTTTAGATTATTAGCTCCATGGAGAGCGTGTTCATGTTGTCTTAGTCACAGCTGTATCTGTAGCACCTAGGACAGCACACAGTAGCAGCTAGCAATAAATATTTGTTAGGTTGGCATAGCAATAAATGAATGAATGAACAGTATATTCCTGACCTCAAAGTGCTTACAGTCAAACAGGAAAGAAAGACAAAGAAAAAACTATTTGCCATTCAACATCATGAGGGCAGCAATAAAGATGTGACAGGGGACAATGGGAACATCACTTCTAATCCTAATCCTGGTATCGTTGTTGAAGCCTACCCAAAGGAGGTGATGGAGAAATCATTAAGATTGAAGAATTGGGGCAGGGAACAGGGTGAGTAAAGGCCGATGTGTCCACCTACTATGCAGGCAGTAATTCATAAGATGTTGGCTTTGGGAGTATGGAGTTCATGGGAGGGTTCTAATATTTTTGCTTACTGGTAGTATTTTTTTTTAAGATTTTATTTTCTTTTAAGTAATCTCTACACCCAGACTTACAACCCCGAGATCAAGAGTCATATGCTCTACCGACTGAGCTAGCCAGGTGCCCCATTACTGGTAGTATTGATAAAGGATATGCAGTGAGGTCCAAATGATGTGTTTTTTTCTTAACGAACTCAGAAAGATCCTGACAGCTTACATTTAATGTTCTCTGTAAATACATAATATGTTAATAACCTCTTACAGAGTAGACAAAGAATAAACATTCACTTCTGACTGTGACTTCTCCCTTTTTGTCCCCTTTTTGGGGAAATCAAGACACTGGCCTATCTCTGAGATAAACATCTGTAGAAATCCTCATGGTCTGCTGAAAGCAGGTCTGCAGTCATAACAAGTTCTTAGAATAACCTTGAGTGAGCTGAGTGTTTTGGAAACATCCAGAATAATATGCTATGCATGACCATAGTTATTTAAAATGATATTTGTAATGGTGTGAGCTACATATTATCTATTGTTTATTATATGCCAGTACTTGTTAGCTTTTTGCAACAATAACTTGGATCTTCAGAACAACCCAATGAAGTAGGTACTCCTAGCATGTCATATCATGAAGGAACTGAGGCATACAGAAATTAAGCAGCTTGCCCAAGGTCATTCAGAAAACGAATGGTGAAGCATGAACTCATTCCAAAAAGTCTGTCTTCAGAGCCTACACTTTGCAGCTTCCTCCCATTATGCTGTGGTTTCTCCTGAAAATTTAATGCCACTTTTGGAGCCAAGACCCACACCCTGTACTTTTTCAGACATCTCATAGAATCCAGAAGTCAAAATTGGAAAGGTCCCAGGAGAGGTAGACAGTCTGCTCACTGTTAGTACTACTGGAGAAGACATTCTTAGAACAAAATCAGTATTTCTCAACACCATGCATACTACTGGCGATATGCTAGATGACTTTGAATATGCATGAGCAAACGTTTCCATTTTCATAACTATGTATATTTAAAATATGTATCAGATAGACATTATGCTAATATGCATTATGCTAATAAGATAACTTGTGTAATTATCTTAGTTTTAATTTTGAGAAATATCAAAAATATGTAACTGGACAAATAATATTCTAACAATAGCTTATATAGCCATGATCCAATGCAGAAGTTGTTGGTATTTTATTTATTTACTGGTTTATTCATTCAACAAATATTTATGGAGCACCTAATAAAGGTCAGGGACTGTTCAAAAACATAAGCAAACAAAAATCCCTGCCCTTTCATAGCTTACATTCTAGTGGAGAGAAACAGATAACAAAATATGTAGAAGCACAAATAAATAATATAGTATAATAGAAGATGACAAATACCATGGAAAAATAGAGCATGATTAGAGAGGAGATGGCAATGGAGAGAAGGAATGAGATTTTAAAATTATAAAAAAATATTACAAAAAAAGTTAGTGTCTTTTTCAGCCCCCCAAAATGTATGATTTTGCTCTAAGTTCCTTTCTCTGAGGACACTCTCTTTACCATGCTTATTTTTATTTATATTCTACTGAAGGCAGAGATAAATTTCATTTTAAAATAACAAATAAAGTAGATAAAATAGTAAATAATTAAGTATTTAAAAAAAAACTATTATAAAATAATAAATACAGTGCTTCATGGATATAGTAAAAGGTGGGAGAGCATTTGAATGACTAAATTGTTTGAACACCAAACACTGTTTTCTCCCCCAGTTGATTCTGCCTTTGTTAATGGGAGGCGAGAAAACTGGAATGGCTCACCCCAACCAAGTCAGCTTTTGGCGTGAAAGATGAAATGCTCCCTCACAAGGCTGGTGGGGAGGGTTGTGTCACTCAGACATGCCTGAGCTTCTACAACCTGCAGCTTTCCTTTCTGCTTACTTACAGGACCATCTCTGTGGAGACAACAGAAGGTGAAATACAGAGAAGAACACACACAAAAAAGCAAAACAACCCATTCCTTTCTGTTGCATGACTACACTTACGTGATGCTCGTGTGGAAGTATGTGCAGACTGCGTAGTGGCTCAGTCTCTGAGGGGAGGCAGGAGCCCCCAGCTGCACAGAGCAGGATGCAGGCTTCCCATGGGAGAGGACCAAGAGGTAAGGCCAAGGATGACTGCAGCCCTTTCCTTGACCACCTAATTATCTTCAAGTTAGTTTTGTTAGAATAAGGCCCTGGCATCAAAAGTGACCCCATCTAGGAAAAAAAATCTTACATTTTAATATTAGTTACTTAAGAACGAGTAACAAATAATCATAGCTACCATTTATTGAACAGTTACTATGTGCTAGACACTGTGTTAATGCTCTACATACATCATTCTGTTCAGTTCTCATGATGACTCCATGAGGTTCTATGATTATTTCCAAAAACATCAGTTCAGGGAAGTTAATTATTGTGTGTCAAGTCATATCTATAGTAAATACTGGCACCAGAAATGGATCCCAGGCTGTCTGACTCTGAAAATTACCTTAATCCTATTTGAACTTATAAATAACCCTATAGGTTAAGAACAAAGGGTATCTCCATTCCATGGAGTAGTGGCAGAAAACTATGATCATTAGGCGGGGAGCAAATGTTAGTATTAGAAGGGTCAGAGTTTTCATTGTGGCCATATCATTAATTAGCTGTGTGAATTTGGGAAATTTATCTAAGTCCTTTAAGACTTAGAATATCCTCGACTGTCACATTTTAGAGAATTTTTCTTCTTTCAGGATCTCTCTGTCTTTGCCATCATCATCACCAACACATCTATCATGTATTGTTTTCTCGCCTTGTCTGAATTTGCCATGCTATTCCCTTGAGCCCTTGAATTAAGAGGCAGTTACAGTATACTACTACTACTACTACTAGTAAACATTTATTTACACACTTACTGCATGCCAAGGGCTATTAATGCATTATTTCATTTACTCTTTACAACTACTGCATAAGATAAATACTAGTGTCATCTATAATTTATAGTTAGAAACAGAACTAAACAGAACTCACAAAGAACTCTGAACACTGCTGATTTCACTTTCTTTTTCCTACCTACCATCCTGACTACCAGCTTGGGAACTCCAAGGCATCCATGAAAATGGCGTCCATGAAAATGGCTTAGAATTTTCTGCAGGAAACAACACTCCAGGAGTTTGACATTCCAAAGGTTTCAACTATCCACCAACTGGTTGGTGTTCCTGAGAACCATGTGGTTGCTCAAGAAATTTCTGTTCCCTCTGTTCCAACTTCCTTGTCCACAGGGGAGTGCCATATACCTCCAAGTCCTGTTCAGGGATAAACTGGAAAAACAGTGAGACCAAGTGACTCACTTGAGAAGAACAAGCAGAGGGTAGTGCTAAGGAATCAGACTCTTACTTTAGTGTAAAGTCCAGCCACTTACTTTGCTTTTTAACAGTCTTGAGTGACATTGAATAAAAGATACCATCAAGGACAAACATGTTTGGAGTAATTATAATCTCCCAGTACTCGATATCATTTTCCCCGTTTGTTATTATTTTTTTCTGATGGCAAATTTTAATAGGTTTTGTTGGAAAACCATAGTAAGTGCAACAAATAGCTAAGTTATTTTGTATGTTTCAGTCTTGATTTGGACTACATTTAAATGATTCTCTTCCTGTGCCCATGCACCTTTGCCCCATTTTTAAAGACCCCGAGTCCCGGTAGGAGAGACCAAAAGCATCCCAGAGGGCAACAGCACAAAATTCACTCCCCTCCAGCCCCTGCGGCTCCTTTCACCCATCTCCCCTCCCCCTTAGTCTGGTGGCTCACCATTGGTCGTTGCCATGACAACCAGCAGCGGCCGGGACCGGCAGCCTCTACCGCAGCAGGGGTGGGGCTTTGGGGGAGGGGGCAGGAGAGGAGGAGCCGGAGGAGGTGTCTGCTGCAAGTTCCTGGCTGCTTCCGAGCTCACCCCATCCTCCAAGAGGGAGGAGGCAGGTGGTGATGCCGCTGCTCCCGCCGCCTCGACCGCTGATGCTCTAGTGAGGCTGGAAGGGTGGTTCCTGTTCGCACCATCGCCAACCAGAGAGCGAGGGAACAAAATCCCAGCAGCAGCTGCCGATGTTGGGTTCGGAGGCTGCATCCGACTCGGTCACAAGGAAAATGGATTCAGTTTGCAGCTTTCCCTCCTTTCAGCAGCTTCTCCGGGTCTCAGCATGGTGAGTAGGAGACTGTGGGGCTATCTTCTTGGTTTAGCTGCCGGTTAAAGGACCTGAGTGTACATCTGTGGCCAGCACTTGAACAATGACTCCCTCGGAGTAGGAGAGGAAGATGTGGAGACAGAGATGGGGATGGAGAGAGAGGAAGGTTGCCAGGAAGAGAGAAGTAAGAAAACATCCGCGGCGTTTAAAAGAGAAGAAATGGTGTTCTGATTTTATCTTGAACTGGCTCAGAATGCAGACTGAGCCACTTGGTTCCTTTCCTTCCAAGCTTAGCAGCAGAATCAGGGGGTGGAAAAAGAGCTAACAAGAAATGGGTGTTATTGAAAGGACTCGTTTAATTTGCAGCTCTCACATACAGGGTTGGGCCTTCCTCAGAAACCCATTTGGTGCCTCTTAAGCTTCCCGGCCTAATTACGAGGTGATTTTGCTTATTTCCTTTATCGCTAAGAAAAGGTGGCCTCAGAATTTAGCATTCTATTTCATATTCTAATGTACTCTTGTTGAGAAACCATTTGCTGGATGGAGTTTGATTTTTAGTAAGTAGATGTGATTGTAAACATACAAATGTATATCCTATGGATATGCATATCATATATACACATGTTTCTTAGCATAAGTAGTGCATTTATTAAATATATTTATATGCATACTGTGCTCTGCAATCATAGTTATGGGTTATAAATGCCCTTGCATTCTCGGAGGTAATTGCATATTTTTGAAACTGTGCTTCTGGTTTGTATTATTCATTGGCTTCATTTGGATTAATGTGAGATTTATTCTTGTTATTGTCCCTTAGTTTCATTGTGACCAATTAGGACAGATGCCTATCATTTAATCTGTATCTTAGTACCAGATGCAAATTCATAGCCTGCCTCTTTTCTTTATTTTTAATTGGTTTTGCCGGGGTGGGGGGGGGTGGTGACTTGAGAGCCCTGAATTTACAATGATGGGAAAGGGAGGTGCCTTGAGGTGTTATTTTGTGTTCAGCATCTTGCCAAGTCAATGTTGAAACAAATCAGTTTTCTCGAAATTCTGCTCCATCCCTTTCATGTTTGTGCCTTGTGTCCCAGGAAGCACACATGAGCTGGAAGGTGAAATGCATTCATTTTATTTGATAGTGCTGCTTGCTATTTGGTCTTCATTCCTTCAGTATCCAGGCACCATTTTACAGTTCTCTCAAATGTTGTATTATGGGTTACTTCTTTAGGTGGTTAAGTAGGAAAGTGGGATTTTTTTGAAAATCTAGGTGTTCCCAAGTACCCTAGCTATTTCCAAATTAGCCTACTTATACAATGAAATGAAACAAGAGAGTGAGCCCGAAATGGGGGGCTGTTGTAGTTTACAAATGCTTACTAGGATCTGCTTGACCTTTTATTATGTCAAGGCTTTAAGGCAGCTCAGGAGACTGAAGATGCCTGAGATGAGTAGGGTACAGGACTCCATTACTACCCAGGAGAATGGATTTAATTAAATTAAAGCCAGAAAAATCCTTGCAGGTAAAAGTGTATTTATTACATTCATCATATGGACTAGTTTTATCCATCGATCTCTTCTCAAACATATCATTGTCAGTGCAAACATTTTTTATAATGTTAAGTAACATTTTTTTATCTTAATCTTGCATTTTATTTTATACACTGCTGCCCCTTCTTCATTTTAAATTTTTACATGTATTTGAAGTTTATAGTTTTAATTTCTCAGAGAATAAATGTTCTATTTGGTTTATATATAGGAAGACTTAATGGGAAGAATGGATTTAATTGCTCACGGCATCTTGTATATTACATAGATTCACAACTCTGTAAAGTCATGCTATCGTGTGCCTAATTATAACTAAATAAAGTAGAGCAAGGAAAGAAGTACTGGGCTTATATGTCACATAAAATTTTTATGACACACTGCATCCTAAATCTTTTAATGATAACTTTTGACTTCCAAAAATTAAAATTTCAGATATATCTATAATAAGCTTTAAAAAATAAAGACACATTTAGTTGACCCTGTTTCATGCAATGAAAACAGCTGTCTTGGGGCTTTGTTTTATTTCCTTTGTGTTGAGTTTTCATTGGGTTGTGGTTTTATAGGTGAAGTTGGTACAGTTTAGGCGGAGGCCAATGACTGTAGGCTGTCAGCACAGAACTATCAGTGGTAGCATGTTTTACCTATGTGGTCAGACCCTGATGGGAATCTTAGACCTAGTGTTTGATCCCACAGGTTAAGACAATTTTATGGCCTTTACTAAGGGGCCACACGAAAGTGAAGTGTGTTTAAAGGACTACAAGTTGTATTCTCTAACAAAGGATAAGGAGACTAGGATTATTTCATTAGGAGAAGAGAAAATTAAGAGATGACAATCATTTGTTTCAGAAGAGCTGGGGGTTGTTTGGAACCTAAAATATAGTCAATGAGCTTCAACTTCATTAGGAAAAATGAGGATTAGAAATACAGGATGTGGAACTTCCTGATAGCAAAGTTGAGTTGTCAACTGAGCAACCAGATAAAGCAGTGCATTCTTCTTTCACCAAAACCTCTGAGAGTATGACCTAGACATGCATTTATTTGGGATGGAATGGGCTAGATTCTTTCTCAAAAACTTATCTGGCTTTTTCTAGTGTAAATTGCCCATTTTAGAGTGTGCTTTGGTTGTTTAATATCTGGTACTTCTAGATCTATAACAGTAAGGCTCTATTTTGCAATGGGCTTCTAAGTTACAGAATTTGGATATTTTTAAAGAAGTTGATTGACCATCTGCTTGGAAAATATATGTTATCTTGTCACGATGCAGGGAACTGAACACTGACCTCTTCATAAGAGTCCTTTTTCAGCAACTTTTGGAATGTGATGTTTAACAGCCATATTAAAATTATTCCCTTTTGTATTGCTAATTTTGAAAACTAAAATGGGGTTAAGTGGGGTCTAGATACAAAATAATTCAAGAGCCATAAGGTGATGTCAGAAAGAACAAAGTATATGAAGGATACCTGTGAGTTATTGTTTAAATGTATTGTTTAGCAATATTCTAATTTAATTAATTCCCAATTTCTCAAACACTGTCTTGGAAATGCCATTCTTATTGGAATATTAAATATTTTGACTGGCATTTAAACTTTAGTAAAACTTGTTTTAATTGGAGTAAAACATACATTATCTAATTCCTCACTTTGTGATAGGATGTTTCTTATTTCTTCAAGTGACCTCAGAACATATTTCAATTTTATGTACACGCTCTACTCTCCATCAGGATGACTTAGGAGAGACAAAACCATTTTTTACATTTCTCATAGGTTCATGAAAGGATTAATTCTTTGTTTTCCATGATTGTAACCTAAAAGAAAACCGAATTTATCATGGAAGTTTCAACATAACTCAACATTCTGTTTTTTCTGAAATAAATAAACCAGATTTATACTTGAGTGTTACTATGAGAGGTTAGTTACAATTCCTCCTGTTTTATATCCCAAGTATTACTCTATCAATTAAAAATGTGTTTTTACACAAGAGCAATCAATCATATAATCAAACTATTTGTAGAGCTCTTATATGACTAGAACAATTTGCATATCCTAGCGACATAGGATTCCTTGGGGTATATAAGATATACAGATGTGAAAACAATACAGTACCACCATTATACCTTATATTATTAATATAATCTTTTGTAGTTCTCAAAGTCATTTTACATTCTTTATTTCTCATCTAATATTCCCCCAAATTCTATCGTGCCAGTAAAACTGTGTCATCATAACTATTTTAAATAAGTGGAAACAGGCTCAGAGAAGTTAGACTTGTCCAGTTTGGGTTTGGTAAATGGTCTAATTGGACCTGGATTCCAAATCCCATGAGCCCAAATCTGCCATGTTAGAACATTTAACATATTATCTTGCTAATTAGAATTTAAAAATATCAAATATGGTAAATCTGCATTAAATGTGACTCATTTTATTTGAATATGTCAGGTGTCATGATTTGCTCTTTGATCATATTGAATTGCTAATAGACTAAATGTATGCTTAGGGTATCAACCTCCGCCCCCCACCCAAAAATGGTGCACACAAAAATTTTGGAGAAAAACTGGGATTCTTGATATTTTAGAAAAGCATAGAAGCATTTGTCTGGGAAAAATCAGAACTTCATTGGATTGAGGTGCCCTTATTTTACGGCTAAGTATTGTCTTTATTTTTAGTGACATCCAGGTTAGGAGGTAACATAATTTTTTTCTGTGCTTAGGACCAAATTAAGATTCCTATAGATCCTGGATCTTGAAAAAAACTCAGCCATACCTCCCACCTATATGTCCTAAGCATCTTTTCATCTACATGTTCTTAAAATTAAAAATGATATTAAATCATTAAATAGTATACATCAGGGGGTGCCGGAAACCTCTTGGTTTCCACTCAGGTCATGATCTCAGGGTTCTGAAATCGAGCCCCTCCTCAGGTTCTATGCTTACTGGGGAGTCTGCTTCTCTCCCTCTCCTTTTGCCCCTCCCCCCGCTTGCACGGCCCATACTCTCTCTCAAATAAATAAATAAATCTATAAAAATAAAAAAGTTGTACATCAGTTCATCAACTTTCTAATATTTTCCCTAGGCAAATGCTTTTACACTTTTCTGAAATTTCAAAAGTTTAATACTTTTCTCCAAAAATACATTTTTTTGTGTGTGTGTGTCTTTCTTTTTTTGCTAATGCGCTAGGCACATACTCTGTGTCTGACTATTTGGCATTCAACACTGGCCAAAGAGCAAATTATGCCATCTGAACTATCATTCCACATTTGGGAAGTGTCCTTTAAAACTAATTAGCTTGCAGTACAAGTGAGATCTGTCACGCTAAAGACAGTCTGCTTTAAATCAATATTCACCAATACAATTAAATTTTGTCTTTTAAAGGTTTTTTTTTCCACATTTAAAAAATACATCATTGTGATAAACAAAAAAAAGGTTATACAGAAATGTATAAAAAGAAAATAAAAAAATTGAAAAGGAAATCACGCATGAG